CACTCGACCCCTGAGCCCCGTCCCCAGCCCTATTTTGTATTTTATTTAGAGACAGGATCTCCCTGAGTTGCTTACAGCCTCGCTTTGGCTGAGGCTGGCTTTGAACTCGCAATCCTCCTGCCTCAGTCTCCCGAGCCTCTGGGAGGACAGCGGTGCCCCACCGCGTCCATGCGCACGGGCTCGGCTCCGGAATTACAGTAGATGGGGTAGAGAGAGAAGATGGGAGGGGAGGGGAGGGGGGAATAGTAGAGGATAGGAAAGGTAGCAGAATACAACAGTTACTAATAGGGCATTATGTAAAAATGTGGATGTGTAACCGATGTGATTCTGCAATCTGTATTTGGGGTAAAATTGGGAGTTCATAACCAACTTGAATCTAATGTATGAAATATGATATGTCAAGAGCTTTGTAATGTTTTGAACAACCAATAAAAAAATATTATATCTTTCCAATAAAAAACTCAACTCTTAAATATAGTTGTCTCTGAATTGTCTTTCTTGTCTCTGTTTCACTTGTTTCCATTCCAGTATGTATGATTTCCTTCCTGCTGTTAATTTTGGGTTTAGTATTTTTTTTACTTAGTTATTTATTTTGGTTTAATTTCTTGAGTTGAAGAGTTAAATTGTTTATTTGAGGTCTTTCTTTTTCCTTAAATTAGGCATTAACCGGAGATGATTATATTCAGTGAAAGAAACCAGGCACAGAACAGTACTGAGTGATCTCATGCATATGTGGAATCTGAAGAAGTTGATCTCATAGAAATTGAGAGTAGAATGGTGGATACCAGAGTCTGGGGAGAGAGTGTGTTTAGTGGGAAGAGGGGGACAGGTTGACAAATGGGCATTACATTACAGACATGTAAGAGCAAGAAGTTCTGTTGTGCTATTGCTCAGTATGTTGACTATAGATAATAATCATGTACTGTGCATTTCAAAAAGTAGAAGAAAGGATTTTTAAATTTTTCACCATAAAGAAGTGATAAATGTTTGAGGAGTTAAGTATGTTTAACCTGATTTATGCATTAAGTAATATATACATGCATTGAAACTTTATGTGGTTCCCCAATAATATGTTGATTTTTATGTTTTTATATATCAATGAACAAAACAACCCAAACCAAATTGTATCTTTATATTTGTGTACCTGTTAACATAGATTTCATGATTATTTTATATACTTGTCTTCTGAATTCTGTACAAAAATAGAAAAGAAGAGTTACAATAATACTTCTAAAATTGTTTTCCCATGAATTTACTTTCATGGGGGAACTTTAGATTTAATTATGGCTTTGTGGTACAGTTATTTCTTTTCACCTTGAAGGATACTCTTTAGCATTTCTTGCAGGACACCTAGTAGTAACTGGCTTCCTCAGCTTATGTTTATCTGGAAATGTCTTCATTTTCCCCCAGTTTTTTTTTTTTTTTTTTTTGGGGGGTTTTCAATACTAGGAATTAAAGCCAGGGCCTTGTACATGCTAGGCAAGCAATCTATCACTGAGCTATATTCCCAGTCTTCTCCCTCAGTTTTGAAAGACAGTTTGCCAGAGAGAATTCTCAATTGACAGTTGTTTTATTTCAGTTTTGTTTCTTTTCACATATAAAGGTGTCAATTTCTCATTCTAGATTTGGGAAATTTTCTCTCATTATTTCTTTAAATAAGGTTTCTGCCCCCTTTTTCCTCTTCTTACTTCTTCTGTAACTGTCCTGAAGTATATATTGTTTGCTTGATGGTGTCCCATAAGTCCTGTAGAATATGTTTATTCTTTCTCATTAATTTCTCTTTTTGTTCCTCTGGGTAACCAACTTTGGAAAGTTGAAAGACCTTCAGCAGTCATACCATCTAGATTCTGGATGGGCCATCTGGCAGAATCTACAGGCAGCCTTGCTGCTGGAGTCTTCAGACTAGCTGGCCGGATGATTGGGTCACTGGATTGGTAGGCCTGCTGCCTATTCTACATGGTTTATTCTTGTGCTTTGATATTAGGGCAGGCCTGGAACCTGGGTTCACAAAGGGCAGCCTGATGCTGGGTCTACTGGTATCAGCCTTGATCATGTGAGCCCCAGGCAGGCCTACAGCCTTGTTTGCTGGATCCTGGGGCCATGATGTTTGGCCTGGCCCTGAGGCAAGCCTAAAGCCTTATTCCGTGGGTGTGAGCCAGGGTCTGGGTCTACAGCAGCAGCCAATCTGGAGCTGAGATAGGCCTGCAGAGCAAGACTAAAACACAGAGGTATGTCTGGATCCTGGGGCATGCATCATACTCTTTCTGTTACAAATAATTCTGCAGTTGAAGTGCAACAGTAGCCTTAGACAATATATGAGCACATGTGCATAGCTGTGTTTCAATTAAACTTTATTTACAAAAATAGGTAGCAGGTTGGGTTTGACCCATGAGATATAGTTTGACAACCTCTGGGGTATAATTTTAAAAAACTAAGTTATTTTTATTTGATTCACTAATTGCAAAAGATGTTTCATATATATTACATGCCATATTTAAGGATACTTTGTTTATGTCATGCACATGATGCTGAAAGTTTACAAGGTGTTTTTGAGGGAATAACTGGAGGGACAATTACTTATATTTGATACAGATATAATTATACTGAATAATTAATGAGAAAGAAGGTCAATTCAAGTTCTAAGATTCATCATTCACCTAAAAAAACAACTTCTCAATGGCTTACTCTTGAGGCATTTGACTTACATCATAAAGAATCTTTTACTTTTCTCCAAATCCAGTATGCTTGGATTTATACCTTTACTAAAGAATATTATAGGTCAAACTATAAGTTGGTTGAGAAAAACACTAGTTAGTAACTTCTCAATTATCATCTGAGAAGATAAAAATGTCTTATATTTACATAGAATTTTTCAAATTTAGAGTCATTTATTTAATGCTCAAAATATGAAGCAAAGGAAACTAAAAAAATGAAAGACACTAAGACACTGAGTTTTTATATCCCTTTCCCTTACCTCAGGGGGCTATAGATTTGGGTAAAATAATACAAATAGAGGAAAATAATTAAAAATATGCTCACAGAATTTTGTTTTCCTCTGCTCCAGAGAATTTATAGTAACTCTAGTGCCTTCTAGCTCAAAAGCAAAAGAATAAGGTCTGCTTAGGGAAAAACCAATGAGTCTCTGACCTGTCACTCTAGCAAGTCACTCTGATCTAAGTAGGATTCAACTTCTGACCTGTGAAAAAAGGGTCTCGAAGTTTTTGATGAAAGTTATTTTCAGCAGCATCCAATTTAGAAGGTGCTGAAACAAGCCCAAACAGACAATTGGAAAAAAATGTAAGGACACCCACCAATAAAATGGTAAAACAAAATATAGTGATGGAGGGATTTCTAAACTGGTTAGTCATGGAAGAGCAAGACCAAAAGCTCATTTCAGATATATAATAGATATAAAAAACTTAAACTTTTAAGAATGAACTTTGTATGTTTTACTTTTCCTTCCAGTCATTTAAAAACACACATATATAAGTTTTATACACACACACACACACACACATATATACATGTGCACACATATATACACAAATGGTTATAAATATGATTGTTATTAAAAATCCAATATGCAATGGTTTTCTCCTGCAAAGAAAGGTGTAAATGTTTATGTAATAAAAATTTTGCACAAACTAGGAAAATTATGACTGAATTTGATGCCAGTTTCTGCCTCTGCATTAATGGCTAGATTAAAGAGTGATGTTGCAATCACAGAACTTGAGAAACCAGGTCCATGAGTCAGGGAATGGAATCCTAGAGCAGAAATCTCACAGTTGGATAACACCTGGTAAATTGGTAGAGATTTTAAATCCCCTAAATTTATTAATTGTTCAAAAATTCTGGTGTAAAATGTCTTATTTCTTTCAAAATACATATTTTAAATTGTTTCTAATTACTGGCTTCTGCTAACAATAGAAGAAAACATGTCTTTGTTCGTGAATATGCAAATACATACAAAAATATAAGGAACTCTAGTGCAAAATTAATATTAAGGAAAGAAAAGGACAGTGGCTGAAAAATTGCTAATGATTTTCTAATGTAGACCCAGGGGAAGTTAGAAAAGAAAGCTCAAATAATGAAGTGGTGTACTAACCAATGGGAAATTTATGGCAAAGGAGAATAAGAAGCTAAGAGGCCAGTAGGTATCAAAGTAATAGATTAATAAATTATTGTATTTATTATAGAAGGAAATTGAGAATGGGTATGGGGTTAGCAAGTGGGAACAGATGAAAGAAGAACAAATGAAGGACAAATAAGTAGGAGGATTGAGAAAAGAAACTATAAATATACTGGACATATTTCAGTGATTGCTTTTTTAAAAATAAATATTTTATATGTTCAGTTGTAGATGGACACAATACCTTTATTTTATTCATTTACTTTTATGTGGTGCTGAGGATTGAACCCAGTGCCTCATATGCCAGGCAAGTAGCCACTGAGCCATGATCCCAGCCCTCAGTGATTGCTTTTGATATAATTTTTTTTTTCAAAAGTTTACTGCAAAAATGTTCTATTTTTTCTAACTTTTACTCAGTGTTACAAGAATACTTGGGTATATTTAGGGAGATAGTTGATAACAACTAAGTTGTATTAAGCATTTGCCATGCAGCAGATGAACTAATTTGTATGTATTAATTTGTATTTGATGATCAGGATGTCAAGGGGAGGGTTGTTATTTTCTTTTTCTTAAAGAAGCTGAGGAAGTAAGGTAAAATAATTTCTTTGAGACTGTTTTTGAAAGCAGGAGTCCTGGCACCAGAGATTTCATATTTCATTCTAACCTATATTCTACTTTGTTTCTTTACTAGTTTTTTTTTTAATTATTGCAGACTTACTACATTTGACTTTTGTTCAAAATAGCAGAGTTAACATACATTTACATACATATTTGTCTTCTTTAAATCCCTGAAAATAAAAATAAAAAGAATTTTAAAAAACAAAACTACAAAGAGAATAACATAGAAAATGAATACAAGAAAATATTGGCCATACTCACTTTGGCAACACATACACTAAAATTGGAATGATACAGAGAAGATTAGCATGGTTCTTGTATAAGACTGACAAATTCATGAAGTGTTCCATATTTAAAAAAAAAAAAAAAGAATGCTGTTTTAAAGTCTTTTGGGTATAGACTGAGGAGAGGGATAGCTGGGTCAAATGCTGTTTCCATTCCCAGATTTCCAAGGAATTTCCATACTGCTTTCCATATTGGCTGCACCAATTTGCAGTCCCACCAGCAATGTAGGAGTGTGCCTTTTTCTCCACATCCTTGCCACTACTTATTGTTTGTCTTCATAAAAGCTGCCATTCTGATTGGAGTGAGATGATATCTTAGAGTAGTTTTGATTCGCATTTCTCTAATTGCTAGAGATGATGAGCAATTTTTTCATATCTCTCTCCTCAGTCTATATCCAAAAGACTTAAAACCAGCATACTACAGGGACACAGCCACATCAACGTTTATAGCAGTACAATTCACAATAGCTGAACTGTGGAGCCAACCTAGATGCTCTTCACTGGATGAATGGATTAAAAAAAAATGTGGCATATATACTCAATGGAATTTTACTCAGGAATAAAAGAGAATAAAATCATAGCATTTGCAGGTGAGTGGATGGCACTGGAGAAGATAATGCTAAGTGAAGTTAGCCAATCCCCAAAAAAACAAATGCCGAATATTTTCTCTGATATAAGGAGGCTGACTCGTACTGAGGTAGGGAGGGGGAACATGGGAGGAATAGATGAATTCTAGATAGAGCATAGGGGTGGGAGAGAAAGGGAGGGGGCAGGGGATTAGCAAGGATGGTGGAATGTGATGGACATCATTATCCAAAGTACATGTATGAAGACAGGAATTGGTGTCAATATACTTTATATACAACCAGAGATATGAAAAATTGTGCTGTATATGTGTAATAGGAATTGTAATGCATTCTACTGTCATTTATTTTTTTAAAAAATCAAGAAAAAATTAAAAAAAGAAAATATTGATAGTGGGATGATTGGTAACTGAGTCTGTGTTAATTAACTTGATATAATCATTTCACATGTATACATATATCAAAATGCCATGTTGTACATCTAAAATACACACAATACTTATTTTCAGTTAAAAATTAAAAATTATAAAAGTTAAGACAGAGAAAGAGGAAGAGAGGGAAAGAGAGCATGCAAAATCTTTACTTGACAGGAGAGGAAGGTGAGAAACAAACACATTTGTACCTCTAAACCCCTAAATTTCTTAGGTATTGGTGATATCTGAAAAAAATAGGATCAGACATAATTATGTTTGAGAAACACTTGTATCCTCAGTGCCCCACTTTTAGCCTGGTACAATTCTGGGGTTTTATTCTTTTTTTTTCCAAATATTTTTCTTGTACCTGCTTCTAAGGAACTGGGACTCTAGGGTTCATGGAAAACTACTTGAGGAAGGATTTAAAAGGAGGTATTGTTTATTTTTAATTTGTTCTTTTTAGATGTAAATGACAGTGAAACATATTTTGACATATTTTACATAAATAAATTATTTACAAATAAATTATTCTAATTAGGATCACATTCTTGTGGTTGAACATAATATGGAATTACACTGGTCCTGTATTCATATATGAACATGGAGTTTTATTCTTAGTAGAGGTAAGGATATCCATTTTTTTTCTTATCAGGAGGATTTTGCTGAATATTCCAATCCATAATTACCTAGAAGAGAAACTTATAGTCTATTATCAACAGAATAACCAGAATGGTGCTGACCAAAATAACTTTCTATTTAACCAAGGAGCAAGAGCCAAGATTTTAGAATGATTTACAAAATCATGCCTACATGGTCTACCCACTCCACTACCTCCATTCCTGAATTTTCTCTCTGACTTCATCACCTATTCTTTAAAATAGTAACAGATCTAAAATTGTTACTGGAGGCTTGGGGTCTAGCTCAGTGGTAGAGGACCCCTCAGTTCAATCCCCAGTACTGGGATGTGAGGGAGAAGCATTAGTATGGTTGCATCTTTAAAGTATGGAGTAAATGGTTGAAATCCTTCACTTTCATAGTATCTACAATAAAAATATCTAGAAGTACCAAAATAAACATTATTTAGGCTTTTGAACTTCAGTTTTTTTAAAGAACTCTAGCTATAATTGTTGGAAGGCATGTGAAATACAGTATGAAGACTGCTTTCATTTGTAATATGACTTATAGACCTATTTGATCCTTTACATTATATGATGAGCCACCTCAATAAATATAAGGACAATATAATTTAAAATGAATAAAACAAATACAAAGAAAAATAGAACTACTGTTATGTGTGTTATTAATTTGAAAATAAGGTATTTTTCTTAGTAGTTCAACATACCACAATAGCATATTTGTGCCCATGTCACTACCAGCTTAGAAATGTGTGCTTTAAAAGGCTTTGCAGATAACCTGCTTTCTATTCTCTCTGAATTGTTCTCTAGGAATAAATCAGTTAAAAGGCAGCAAGATCCAAACTCTTGGATTTTGGCTCTGGTTTTATGTTCACATTACTCAAAGGCAATCTTAGACCCTCCATATTAGTCTCTAATCTTCTTTTCCGCCTTTGCTGAGACACTTACCTGAAAACACTGAAATGTCTTAAAATAAACACAAAAAAGAAATCAGGAGGCCTAGTGGGTGGTAAATATTTTGAAAAAGGTTGAAATGGAATGCAGAAAGTAAAGTGGCTATGTTTGCAGAAACTCTTTTCCCAGTAAATTGTATTTTACATGAAGCAATGTATGAGTCTTGTTTTCAAGTAGTTACAAGTATACTCATTGTAGAAATAGCTAAGTTCTAATGATCATAACATTTCTTAGGCTTTGGATTGAAAGCATAATACAGATATCACTAGTGCAATTGACTGCATAAAAGTGTCATGATTAGCACTAAATTGTGGCTTGAATTTTCTTTAAAACTTTCTAACACACACACACACACACACGTGTGTGTGTGTGTGTGTGTGTGAATTTACTTCCACATCTTTGTCTAGCTTGGTTTAAAATGAAGCTACTAGGACTGAGGATGTAACTCAGTGGTAGAGTGCGAAAGGTTCAGTCCTTAGCACTGCAAAAAAAGTGAAATAAATCTACCACAAACACCTTGTTTTAAAATATGCTGTTGAGCCAGGCATGGTGGTGCACGCCTATAATCCCAGCAGCTCTAAAGGCTGAGGCAGGTGGATATTGAGCTCAAAGCCAGCCTCAACAACTTAGTTAGACCCGATCTCAAAATAAAAAATAAAAAGGGGTGGGGATGTGGCTCAGTGGTTAAATGCCCCTGGGTTTGATTCCCAATACTATAAATAAATATAGAAAGAAAGAAAAAAAAGGAAAATAAAATACACTATTGAAATATTTATTTTTGTTGGTCTAAGTTACTTTTTGAAAGCCCCTAGGAGTTTATTGAAGGTACTATCATTGAGAAATAACTTAAATTTTATGGAAGTATTTTAGAGATATTTCTGATTGCATTTATTCTGAATTATTCACCATTAATTTTCACCAAGCCAATTTTGATTTGACATAAAACTGACACGTTCTTTGTGGCCTACACATTCTTTCATAATAGGCAGTTTTAATGTTGCATGCACATGTTTAGCTTCACCTCGATCTTTTAATCTAGCTGCAATGATAAATCTGTAATTATAATAACCTTTCAGTTTGTTAATTTGAGAGGCTAACATGGCATCCTGAATTTAATATTTACACTCCATCTACTTGATGTAGTTTACAAATTAGAACACTGTAAGAGGTAGGACATGGAAGGTTAAACGGAATCTAACTGAAGAAAGCAGAAGAGGTAAATAATGGTAGGTATTAGGAATAAGCAGATTCTACTACCGGAAAATGTATGTTTCTAGTTTCTCAAACTGAGGGCTCCAAAGGAAACAATGTATTTGGTAATTTCTTTTTTTCTGGCAGCCCAGTGCCCAATACAAATGTACAGAGATGAAATATTTCCCTAAGCAAAAATGGCTTCTTTTGCAGTCAGGACATAAAGGACAGTCAGGACATAAAGTGGCATGCAGAAATTCATTATATATGGATGGCATTAAGTCAATTTAGTACCAATATTTTGAATTATGATTTTATAGGACTAAGTCAGAAATTCTGTTTAAAAAGGTGATTTTATGGCTCCTCCAATGAGAGGATTTTTGGAAGGGTTGTAAGAAGGAAATTTAGTAAATGTGATACAGGTGTGATCACTAAGAAATAAATTATAAGGTTTCAATTAATAAAAGGCAGCACTACATGAGGCAGATCTGGGTATTGTTTTTCTCAACCAAACTATGGAATGATATAAATCTAGGCTAGGTAAGACTAGGAGATCTATAAGTTGTATGCTTTCCTTAATGCTCATGTGCACACGTGTGCTTGTCCCTTCACAATAGTACACATGTGCACACATATCTAGTAACAAAGGATAGAGAAGGCAGATGTTTTAGTTAGCGTTCCTTCACTGTGACCAAAAGACCTGTAAATAACAATTTAGGGGAAGAAAAGTTAATTTGGGGGCTCATGGTTTCAAAGGTTCAGACTATGGTCAACTGATTCCATAGCATTCAACCTGAGGTGAAGCAGAATAAATATAATGGCTGAAGTGTATGGTGGAAGGAAACAACTCAGGACATGGCAATCAGGAAATAAAGAGAAATAACTCTAAAACCTGGGACAAAATATAAACCCAAAGGCACACCTCTAGTGACATACTTCTTCCAGCTATAGCATACCCACCTACAATTACCATCCATTGAATTCAGATCAGTGGATTAATGAACTGATTAGATTAATGCTCTTATAACCCAGTCACTTCACTGTGAAAATTCTTGCGTTATCTTACATATGAGCTTTTGGAAAAACCTCATGTCTAAGCCATAAAAACGAGCAAAACAGAAACATGTGAGCACCATTGTTTAACCAGCCAAATAAAGCCACTGGGATTTTGATGTTTGGGGTTAGAACTTTCAGGTACAGAGATGAGTTATTAAACTTGCATCCTATACCTTAGTCCTGGTTTTCTTGTATTTTACTGAGCCTTTGTTTTAAAAAAAAATTTTAGTTGCATATGG